GTCAACCCCCTCCCATGATTCTTAGTAATGTTAAAGGAGTCAACTTTTTTTTAGGCTGTTCATTTTCTGCAGGGTTCATCTAACTCAACATCACCCAGAGAAGAGGACCATTGGCCATGCTTCTTACAACATCTTGTTCCAGACTGAGATGGTAGGCCAAGCAATGGATGGATGGATGGAAGGAAGGAAGGGAGGCAGGGAGGAAGGAAAGAAGGGCAAATGAGAATGGGAAAAATAGTAATGTTAAAATTACCCAGCTGGTGATGTGGTGTCCACCTAAAGAAATCTGATGAGAGTCTGAAAGTCATTGGGCATTACACAAATAACACAAACGTATGAATCCAGGGTCATCAAGAACACTTCTCAAAGGAACAATAGTTTGCAAAAAGATTAATAAAACACTAGAATTTCAATCTATCCCCTCTTTATGGAAACAGCGGTTTTGACATTGATAAGCAATACAATTTATGCATCAACTTTCATGGTCTTGTTGAAAGAATGGAAAAGCCCCAAGAGGCTCCAAAAACAATCCCTTCAGCGGCCTGGGCGCCAATCAGCTTGGTGACTGAATTTTCTTGAAAATAGGTGGCATTCCCACTGATTATTAAATGATACAATTATTGGTAGTTATCTTACCATTTCCTGAAACAGAAAGTTTCTACTTTCATTTCATTTGCAATTCCAGAGTTATATTTGTTCTCCCTCTGTGATCCAGTCACCCTTCTGCTGTGCATCAGTAAAACAAGTTCCACACCCCCTTTAATGGTTCACTGATCACTTGAAGTACAGAAATGTCTGTGCTTGTGAGGAAGGCCTAGATCCAGGATCCGGAAGCACTTGGCTCAGGAGGGAGATGAGATTTTGGCTGCATGGAAAGGAGGGACGGAGGGAGGGAAGAGAAACTCAGGGTCCTTGGTTCTGAAAATTAAGCATTCTCAATAGAGCTGGAGATAGCATCCACTTATGGGTTAACTCTGTCCGTTCTCCTATTGGACTGAGTCTGATTAATAATTAATTAGCCACCTATATAACCGGTCTCTGTGAGTGACTCCACCCAGCTTTTCGACTCAGTCCACTCTGGACAGTCATGTTATCCAGCATTGATAAAATCCTTCCTTAAAGAAACTTGTTTAAAAGTGAGTAATCACGGGACAAAGAGACCCAGGAGAGCCTTAGGCTATTGGAGAGAGGCTCATCGGGGCTTTCTACCAGCCTTGAGCCGCAAGTGCAAGGGGGATGGAACTGATCGCGCGCTGAAAATCCAGCCCTTTCATTACACGCTATGATCTCCGGGACAGCATCCCCTCACCTGCTGTGTCCAGCCGATTCTGCAGCATGCCTGTGCGGCTGCGAGGGCCCTTGCCAGTGTTTGCCCGACCTCTCCAGGCTAGGGAGAGCGAAACAGCCGCGCCTTCGTAAAACAACGCCACAGGGAGTGAAACGGCCCTCATTCACTGCCTTCATGCCCTGCGAGGCCCGCAGCCGGCGATTCAGGGCTTGGATGCCCGCATTGACCTGAGGGAGCCATCAGAAGCCCAGAGAGCGCTGGCGGCAGTTTGGAGGAGGAGAAAATTGGCGCGAGCGCCATTTGAATGAGAATTTGGCGCAGCAGCCATTTTGAATACTAACGGCCCCTCCGATGGCAGACAACACAGCGTCAGGCCATCCTGACATGGAAGGAAGTAGTCAGGGAGGCTTGCTGTCAGTGGCTGGGGGCCCCGATCCCCCAACCTTGCCTGCCTCATCTCAAAGTGGCAGTGCAAATAAGCCAAATGATAAGGGCTCTAAGGACTCTAAATCCTCCAGCAAGGGCTCCAAATCTAAGAAGGCTTCCAAATTGGCAGACAAGGAGGCCAACTCCCAGATCAAGGCTGGGCCTCATGCCTATTCCCCCACTACCATCTCAGGCCACAGCCTTCCCGCACAGTTGGATTCTGGGCCTGGTCCATTCAGTCCAATGTTGTCTATTAATACCTCAGGGATCTGGGAGCAATCTGTGCTGCCACCCCCTATGGAACCTCGCCTACCTAGCAGGCATGTGGAAGTCACATTTATGCCCACGGCTGCGGGCCTCTGTCACGAGTTCTCGGCCCCAGCCATGCCTCTGGACTACCAGTCCTTCATTGCAGAGGCCATTAAACGGGATTGCGGCTGGGTTGCAGCAATGTGCGCCACTACCACCTCCACCAGCCACCCATGTTCGTGCACACAATGACCTCGAGCCCAACATGGGGGCGGACCAGTCACCTCAGCGCCCAGAGCGCTGTCATTCTCCAGCCTCGGAAGAGGGGGAGATTAGGGAGGACAGCTTATCTGAGGAAGAGGGGGATAGCCCAGAGAAGCCGGTGGCCATGGGCCTCTTCCCACTGACACTGTTAAACCTTTGCTAACTAAGGCAATTGCTGCAGCCGATATGGGGGGACAGGTGGAGGCTCCCTCAACCTCTGGAGCCACCAAATCAGCCAACATGTGGTTTACGGAACATAAGTTGGAGATGGATGCCATCCCTGTTCCCCAATTGTTTATGGACGCCATCCAGAGACAATGGGCTACACCAACATCAGGCCTAGCTCCATCCAGCTCGGACAAGCGCTTTTATAACACGGCTGAGTGCCTCGACAAACTGTTGCTGTGGCCGACTGTGGATGCCCCAATTTCGGCACTTCTCTCTAGCACTACGTTATCGGGGTCCCAGGAGGAGGTCCTGAAACCTGAAGAAAAGAAGGCCAACCAAACCCTCCAGCGGTGCACCAAGCAGCCGCTTGGGCGGTCCGGGCTTCAGTGGTGGCTTCCTTTTTTTATCGTTCTAGCTTGAACTGGTTGCAGCAGCTACAGGGGAGAATCCCAGCCGGGGATTCCAGAGCACACCAGGACCTGAACAAAACCATAGCAGTGTTGCAGTTTTTGGCTGATGCCACATTGAGTGCCACCAGATTTGCATCGCGGGCCATGGCGTCCTCCGTGACCTCCCGTAGACTCCTGTGGCTGCACTCGTGGCAGACTGATCTCTGGCAGAAGTGGTGTCTGACCTAGGAGCCATATAAAGGGGAAGACCTATTCGGGGATTCCCTCACGCCTCTCCTAGTAGAGGGAATAGATAAGCGTAAGGTCTTGCCCACCAATTACAAGCAGGGCCTAGGCAACTAGATTATGGGGGATCCTTTAGGAACCAGGATTATAGCCCATCCACCTTTAGGCAGCAGGGTAACTTTGGGCAACGCCAGAGACAGCAACCATACCACCAACAGCGGGGCAATCAGTCCAAGCGGCCCTTTTGGGGCGGAGGGAACCAATTCTACCATAGGCCATTAGCCGCCTGGAGATCAGTTCCCCATTGGTGGCTGATTAATTCATTTTGAGGAGGTGTGGGAAGCCACCACTTCCGGCAGTTGGGTCATCACTACAGTTAAGATGGGTTTGGCCCTTGAGTTCCTTTCGTTCCATCCACGTTTTTTCATTCCCAGTCTCGGGGAATAGGCAACGGCAGTTCTTGATGAGCTTGGTCATACGTCATCTTCTAGACATTGAAGCCATCCAACTGGTGCCGGTTGACTAGTGTTTTCAGGGTTTCTATTCTGTGTTGTTTGTTGTTCCCAAGTCCTCGGGGGGTTGCAGGGCTATTTTGGATTTGAAGCATCTTAATAAATACTTGATATACCGATGTTTTAAAATGCATTCCTTGCAGTCAACATTAGAAGGAGTAAGGCCTCACCTCACAGAGGCATATTTGCATATACCTATACACCACTATTTCCTCTGTTTTTGCTACAATAACTGCCATTATCAATACAAGGCCTTGCCCTTTGGCCTCTCATCTGCCCCTCGGGCTTTCACTAAGGTGTTGGCCGCCCTGACAGCTCATTTGAGGACAGTGCCCATCAGGATTATGTCCTATCTAGAGAACATCTTGTTATTGTCACACTCTCGCGATAAGGCTATAGTGGACCTCGACACCACTGTTCATGCCCTCCAGTCCCATGGGTTTTCCATCAACAGGGCCAAGAGTCATGTGGTATCTACCACCCGCATTTTACACCTGGGGGCCTGGATCGACATGGAAGCAACTCAGGTGTTCCTTTTCGAGGAGAGACAGGAGAGCCTCTGACAGTTAATCTCCCAGGTGGAGAAGGAGAGCAAGGTTTCACTAGCTACCTTGTCTAAGTTGCTGGGGAAGATGGTTTCAGACATCACAATTGTCCCTTGGGCCAGACTGTACACCAGGGAACTGCAATGGCTCCTACTGCCCTTCCAGAAGGCACGGAGGAGTACTTCCCCGGCTAGAATCACCTTGCCTAGTGAGGTACACTGCTCCTTCCATTGGTGGAGGTCTCCTGCGATTAGTAGAGGGTGTCATTTCGAGGTGGAGAACAGGATCACAATCACAACTGATGCGAGTCTCACGGGTTGGGGCGCCCACCTTGACGCACATTTGGCTCAGGGCAAGTGTTCAGAGGAGGAAAGTGTCGTGAGTATTAATCTCCTTGAGCTTAGGACCATCCGTCTTGGCCTCCTCCACTTCATAGGCATGGTCAAGGGGAGCCATGTGCGGATTCTGACAGATAACATTACAGCCAAGGCCCATGTCAACAGGCAGGGGGGCACCCAGTCAAGACAGCTAATGGGGGAGGTGGAAGAGCTGGGTCACTGGGCAGAGGTTCACCTCCTGTCCCTCGTCGCTGAACACATTTCAGGGGTTGACAATGTGAGGGCAGACTGGCTCAGCTGCTCTACTCTGGATCAGGCAGAGTGGAGATTGCATCTTTCTCTCTTCCAGGTGATTATGCAATGGGTTGGACAGCCATTTCTCAGAAATAGTAGGTCTCCTGCTTGAGCAGGGGGTTGGACTAGATGACCTCCAAGGTCCCTTCCCAACTTTTTTTAACTCTTATTGTTTCTGACGAGGGGTGGAGGAATTCACAGCCCTAAGGGGGAGAAAGGGGGAAGGCAAAGCTTGCTCACGGGATTAACGCCAGGCACAAAGCATTCTGATTGCCATGTCATTGAAGTGTTTTAACACAATTTATTTTATGCTTAAATTATCAACTAGATCATCCAGTGTTGCTGGGTTGTTGTTGTTTTTTCATACATATGTAATTAGAGCTATTATCAACAAATCCTGTTTCCATATGAAGATAATTAACAAATTAAAAGTATTTCACCAAAAACCCAAATAAAAATGCCCTTTAAAACACAGCAGCCTTAACAACCTATTATTAATCTGCTAGGATGATTACACGATTGGCTTCCTGAAAGATTCTACATCTTAGAGCCAGTACACAATATAGTAATATTTTTACAGCGTGCTGCCACTCTTGTTAGCTAAGAAATTCTCTTCCTTCCTTTCCCCCCCTTTTTTTAAATATCCCCCACTGGCGCTTCCAAGAGCATCACCCCAAACTGCCAAAAGCTGCAAGCGTTTCCCCCAGTGGAAAGCAGGACAGGTAGCAACCCCCCCTCTGCAAAAGCAACTACTGTATATGTTATGGTTTCTGTTAAGTTTGAGATCGTTTCCAGCAGAAAAACTGGCAAGAGCAACAAACATTAGATGAGGGCCTTTTGTGTTTAAAGGTTATGGATAGGCTCCCACAAGCAGCCCGGCTCCCAAACAGCCGCCGTGCCCAGGGCGGCCTCAATCTTCCACCCACTGCAAGCAGAAATGAGGAGGCCTCCCTTAGCAGCTGTGCCCTGATGAACTGCGCCCCCCCGGATCCCCTCTCTCACGTCGCCATCTAATATATTTGCAAAACTGGAAAAGTGTTCATCAAAATAAGGCGGAACGCATGCATCAAAATATCAGTACTCCGGAGAGAATCCTTGATTTCCCAGAACTTCAGATTTCCCCATCTTAGGAATCATTAAATTTGCAGCAGATTTTAAAGATTTTTTTAAAATCAAGCTAGCTTTTTTTTTTTTTTTGCATATACAAACATTATAATCGCTAAATATACAAGAATCTGTGAAGGTACATCCAGAGTACCTCGGCAGGTGTCACGGCCCTCCGAGACACTGATTTCTGTCCAACGCAAACGCAGGATCCAGTTTGTGAGCTAGGAGGCAGTGCCTGCTCAGCCTGGATCCTCTCCTTCGCTTTAGAATTTACACAGTGTTATTTACAATGAGACAAGCAATGTTAGTCTTTGTTGTTGTTGTTGTCTTAAAAAAATGAAAACCAAAAAAACAAAGGTGTATTTTAGTACCCTGACAGTTTGGGTCTGAGAAAAATAAGGCGAGCTGTTGTGGATTTTAATAATTTTTAGTGCCTTTCGGTCGTTTGAACCATTCTCCAGTGTCACTTGAAAATCTCTCACAACAGGAATTCCTCAGTTTCGCCATGGCTTTGCCTTGCTTCAGTGAAGCCATGGCTTAGGAGCACCCTGGACATCCGTCCTTTCTTCTCTCGCTGCATCCTCTCCAATGGTGTGAATGAAATGTGGGTTTCCATGCTTGTGTAGAACTGGCTCATGCTAAATTAAATTTGTTTTTGTTGTGTTCGTCACATAAAAACCATGCGGTTAATGTGTGGAAGCAGCAAACACACAGACGCGCGCACACGCACACACACACTTTTGTCCATGACTTGATAATTCCTGTTGGATTTCATTCGTCCTTGAGTTTCTCTCTAGAATACTGGCAGTAAAAGCACACAGTCTTGGGTCCCGTGGAAAAGGATGGAGAAGAGAGAAAGAGAAAAAGAATACCGGTGTTAGAACAGCATAGAGCCTCTCAACCGCAAATAATATTTCCGCATCTCTTCCATAAAATAGAAGGCCCACCCTATAGCCCCCACTGCGTTGACCCATTCATCTGTCCCAGGTTGGGCCATGTTGGACCACAGCTCCAGCTGCCCATAGACCTCTTGAGTTACAGCTGCCACCAAGAGGGTTCTCCAGAGCCAAGAGAGTTAGTACTTTTTTTTCTGATTAAAGTTTTTTATTTTTCCATTTTCATAACATATAACCACATGTATACTATTACATAACCAACATCATATTGTATTGTTAAATGTTTACATCAATTCAACTTACCAACAACTCCCAAAAAACAATTATTGGCTCTTCTGCTCTCCATACACCATATTTATACTTTATCCATCCCTTTCTTCTCCCTCTCTCCTCCCCCTCCTTACCTCCTTTCTTCCTTCTGTTATCCTTCTCAAGTTTCTCTTCCTCTCTCCTTCTCCTCTCTCCCCTTTCCACTCCTCATTTCTCTCCTCTTCTCCCCCCCACCACTTTGCCCCCAAGAGGGCTAGTACTTAAAGTTCAAGGATTACCCACCCCCAGCTGCCATATTGGAACAAAACAGAAACATAGCCAGAGCAAGACATAAATCCAGTTTTTTTCAAGTCCTGCGCTGGTTAAACAAGCTTGGTGTTCAGCCACCTGTTCAGGAAAATGTTTCCCAAGTCAATGAGCTTAAAGTAAACAAATGAGATTAGAACAAAATTTTCCAAGCTAGAAATTACCTGGTTTGTAGGTTACAAAATGTAACTCATATTTGATCAGGCTCTTAGTAGATGACTAAACTTAAATGGCGTAGAAGGACTGCCTGTCCCCCATCATATCTGTCAGATCAGGCAGCTTCGGCTCCTTTCAGATTCTACCAATTAAGCCCTGTCAACCTAGAAAATGGGCCTTTTCTGTTGCAGCATGTGATTGCTCTCCCACCAACCATCTTCAGGTAAAAAGGTAAAGGTTCCCCTCACATTTATGTGCTAGTCGTTCCCGACTCTAGGGGGTGGTGCTCATCCTTGTTTTAAAGCTGAAGAGCCAGCGCTGTCAGAAGACGTCTCCGTGGTCATGTGGCTGGCGTGTCTCAACGCCAAAGGCGCATGGAACGCTGTTACCTTCCCACCAAAGATGGTTCCTATTTTTCTACTCGCATTTTTTATGTGCTTTCAAACTGCTAGGTTGGCAGAAGCTGGGACAAGTAACAGGAGCTCATTCGTTACGCGGCGCTAGGGATCCGAACCGACGAACTGCGGGCCTTTCTGATCGACAAGCTCAGCATCTTAGCTGCTGAGCCACTGCGTCCCTAAGTATTGCCTAGAGTGAAGCAAGCCAAAGCTGGTATCTGAGGGGTGGTTTTCATTGCATAAAGATAAAATCAGTGAAATCGAACAAATCCAAAGTTCTCTTGGTTCCTGTAGGCTGGGGGTTAAACTTGATTTCATTGAGGGCCGCATCAGGGTTGTGTCTGACCTTTGGGGCCCAAGTAAGCCAGGGTGGGTGTGGCTGAGGAGGGCATGACCAGCTCAACATCCTACAGTCCTCTGCCAGCATATACAGAGCCCGGGAAGGCCACATGCGGCCTCCCGAGCTCCATTTTTACTGGCAAAAGGCTGCAGGAAGCCCTCACAGCCGAAAACAGAGCCTGCACACGGCTCACTCCAGCTCCATTTTCGCTGGCAGAAGCACCATGGGCCAGTCATCTGCTGTTTCCAGGGTGGTCCTGCAGCAGAGGTGGGTTCCTACCGGTTCGGCTGAACCAGTAGTGATTTGGCGGCCTGGGTTGCTGGAACCGGCAGCGACCCAGGCCTGCCATGCCCCCGAACCAGCTCTCCTATGGGGCCGCCATCTTGATTTTCACATGCGGAGAACAATTGTAATTGCACAAATTTAATTTTTTCCCCTTTTTTTAACAGTGTGCAAATGTGCAGATGTATTTCTGTGCAAATGTGCATGCACGCAGAGCACGAATCAGGTGTGCGCTTGCCATATTTTTGCATGCACCGAACTGGCAGTAATGCCGGGAGCAACCCACCTCCGCCCCGCAGCCAAATCTAAGCACTTCGCACACTGGGTCTGGCCTGCGGGCCTTGAGTTTGACACCCGTGCTGTAGGCGATCCAGAAAATTAATATTTAAGAGAACAGCCATGGCTGTGATTGTTATTGTAACAACTCCAGAAAACCCTCCCTTCTCTCTGGGTGTTCTTTTCACTGTACCCAGAGGGCCCCCATCTCATTGAATGATGCCCAACGATCAGCCCAATGATGGAAGGACCCTGCAAAAATTGCTAAGCCAAGGAAATAAGCTCCGAGTTTCTCATTGCTTCGGAAAGATTTCTTCATTGCTCAATCCAAGAATTAAGAATACAAGAGTCATACATCCAACTGACCATTCACTGTTTGGCTGTTATGAGTAGGTCGTCTTCTCTGCATGCCGGGCATCTTTTTTCATTTTCACTTTACACCCTTCTCCCTGTTTTAAAAAAAGAGGACACACTATCATACACCAAGTGGAGGATCTCATCATAGCAATTATACAAGATAGGGGATCAGTACTAAACCATTGGGGAGGCAGCGAAAGATGAGTAGCTGGCAGCGAAAGATGACGACATGTGTGATGACGACACATATAGCACCATTCCGGGCTCATCATCCTGAAATAAGTTCGAACAGAATTCCAAATATTTCATTTCTCCTTCCCCCACTTTACAAATATCCCATGCTGGGTGATTCCAAGTTAGCAGACCCTTTGCAAGCCAAATTCTGCTGATTTAAGGAAGGTCCAAGCTTTAAAATAAGTAGATTAGTCATGAAAGGGGGAACTGGGAAAAGGGAATATTTGCCAAAGCAAAACCTATCTGCAATAAAGATACTAAAAGTCCTTCAAAGGTGTGTGTGTGTGTGTGTGTGTGTG